CCACACGGGTGCCGGGTCTGGGGGAAATTTGGACCCGCGACGGGTGATGGGGGCGGGTGACGGGGGTATTTTCCCTAATGGGGACGGGTGACGGGGAAGTCCCCCCAGCGGGTTTGTCACCCATTGCCATCCCTAGTGTTAAAGGTGAAAATGAATGTGTGTGTGTGTGTGTGTGTATTTTGGAGGTTTGTGTTTTGGTGGGCATGGCGGATTTGGATGCTGCCTATGCTACGTACTGATTGCTGAGACCATCTGCTTTTTCGAGTGTAGGGACGGACAGGCGGGACAATAATGTAATTTCCTTTGTTTCATATTTCCAACTAGTTTCACTTAAAGTCATTGAAAAAAAATCAGGATATGCAATTTTAATGAAAAAAAAAATCGAATGTCTCTCGAAAATTCTCTCGTCGACTTCAACCCGTTAACGGCGACTTTCGACCCCGGGGTCGATCCGCCGGAGCACAGCGTGAATACGGAATTTCCATCATTAGCCTCGAGTGTTCGCTTGGCATCGAAACGACCGAGGACCCGTAAATTAGGAGAATTTCTGGAGCAGCAAAATCCTCCGTCGCCGAACCCTCTAGATGAACCCCTCGCGGATTCACCCGCCGCAGCGAAGCCTCTTCCCCCACGGTGGACATTTCGGGATATGGTCAATAAGCAAAAAGCCCACGTGTCCATAGAAGAGGAAATTGCAATGTCTGATGAGGAAGAAGAGGAGGTTTCAGCAGACTTCTCCAACCAGGTTCCGGAGGTCAAGATTGCTCAGTGCTTCATAGATCGAATCCATAAGAAATGGCAGAATGCGGTGGTGATTAAGCCGTTCGACGAGTCCATCACTATGGCCTCGCTATACAACCGCCTGACTAAATTGTGGCCGTTCATGGCCGGGTGCAACATGATGGATTTAGACAACGGCTTCTATCTCATCCACTTTCAACTCCGCGAGGACGCGGTGAAAGTCCTTACCGGTGGGCCGTATGTCATTGGAAGTGGCTATATGCATGTCCAGCCATGGAACATTAACTTTGATGCTACCCAAGCCGAAGTTAAGACAACAGTCGCGTGGATTCGATTGCCCGGAATGCCCGCCCACCTCTACCATCAGAAAATATTCCGTACTATTGGACGAATTGTGGGTAAGGTCGTGAAAATAGATCAGCAAACGGCAGCACTCACTCGAGGTAAGTTCGCACGCCTTGCAGTAGTCGTGGATATTACCAAACCGCTGTGTGTCAACTTCACCCTCAATGGCAAACAACAAAGGGTTGTCTACGAGAACATGCCCGATATTTGCTTTCAATGTGGAAGACTTGGCCACTCAAGTTCCTCGTGTCTTTACCACCCACGACCCCAAGATAAGGCCACCAACTCTGAAACAGGTCAGTCCGATAGCCTTAAGGAGGTGACTGGAGACGGCGATAAAAATGCGACCATCGACACCGGCGACCTCTCTCCGTACGGCCCATTGATCCAGGTCCCACAGCGCGTGCGACAAACGTATCCCCGGCGCGATAAGGGGACTTTTCAGAGCCCTAAAATTCCACAAGCTAATTCCAATCATGGATCTCGATTTGGGATTTTGGAAAAGGTAACGCATCCGGATACAACATCAAATTTTGAATTCCGTACCCAATCAGTGGAGAGATCGGCGGGGACAGATAACTTACCAAAGTGGACGGCTGGAAATTCGATTGAGCGGGAATGGCGTACAGTATCGAACAAGAAAAAGGGCAAAGCGCACGTGACCAATCAAGGGACCGTGGAAACAGTGGGCCAAAACAACAGGGTAGGCCCAAAATAGGATCTTCATCAAGAACAGGAGTGGCCCAGTCCCAAAGAATCAAAACTACCGAGCCCAACATGAACATGCAGAGCAGATCCGGGCCTTCGACCCATAACCCAGTTCAGAACCAAGTGGAATCAATCATTGTAGGAGCAGGTTTGAACCCAAGCAAACACCGGGCAATTATTGTTGACGAAGAACATAACAACATGTTTCCCTCCATCGCACGCCCCAATGATATCGTAGACCCAAAGGATGATGATGTGATGTCGGAGGGTGAACATGAGGTCCATCTCCAAGAACCGTGGCCGGAGGAACAACAGCTGCGGCAAGGCCAACCGGAGAACTCGAACGAGATAACCCAACCTATGGATAGGGAAGATGAACCGCGGAACAACGGTCCGCGTCGATTAAGAGCAGTGGGTCCACCATCTGTATAGTTTCCCCATGAATTTTATATCTTGGAATGTGCAAGGAGCTGGTTCGCCCGCATTTCGGGGAGCCTTCTCTACTTTGGTTCGACAACATAATCCAGATGTCTTTGCTCTTTACGAGCCACGAATCAGTGGGGCCACCGCTGACAAGTTCGTGCGTTACAGCAATTTCGAAAATTCATTCCGAGTGGAAGCCAGGGGGTTTTCTGGAGGGATTTGGTTGCTATGGAGAGATAGGGTGGAAGTCGAGGTGTTATATTTCTCTAAGCAATTGGTCCATGTAAGGGTGGGTAAGGATGACGACGAATGCCTTGTCTCTTTTATCTACGCTAGCCCTAATGTGACTATCCGACGCAACCTTTGGCCAGAGCTGGAGAGGTTAGCCTCCGGAATATCCACACCGTGGCTTATTGGAGGGGACTTCAACTGTATGCTACATTCTTATGAGAAGGTCGGGGGTTCCCGAGCTTCGTGCAACATTAGCCCAGAGTTTGCAAATTGGTTATTCTCCAACGGGATCCAAGAGGTGGCTACGGACGGACATCTTTACACGTGGGAGAGGAATGGCCAGTCTGGTAGAGTCATGGAAAGACTGGATAGATTTGTGGCCAATTTAGAATGGATGGAGAAATACGAGACGAGCCGGGTGCGTTTGCTTCCACGCATTCAATCGGACCATTCGCCCTTGAAAGTTAAATTCGGCCAACATAATTTCGCACCACAGGGCGTGAAACCATTTCGGTTTCTAGCTTCATGGCAACTCCATCCCGAATTTCCCGCTATGCTCCAAGGCTCGTGGCAATCTGGTTTATGTTACAACGAGGCGGCCCAGAAGTTCACGGAAACGGCCACGGAATGGAACACCATGGTCTTTGGAAATATTTTTAGCCGAAAGAAGCGGCTCCTCGCTCGTATAGAAGGTATCCAACGAAGTAGTCGGTATTATTTCTCGACAAAGCTAGTGGACCTAGAACGACAACTGCGAACAGAGCTCGACGAAGTTATCCTTCAAGAAGAGCTACTTCTCCTTAAAAAAACTACGAGGGATTGGGCGCATCTGGGAGACAGAAACACATCCTATTTTCACAGACAGCTTAAATTTCGTCGACGCAAGAGCAGGATAACGAAATTGGTGAATGATATGGGCCAAACCATTACCGACCAACAGGCCCTTCAGCACCTGGCCACGGAATTCTTTCGAAAAATCTATACAGAGGGGCAAGCACCGATAGGGACGGAGGTGGCGCCCAACTTGTTCACACGGTGCGACGAGGAGCACATGAAGGCCATGAAGGTAGAAATATCGGATGAAGAAATTTTCTCGGCGCTCCAAGGGATGGGCTCTTTAAAAGCACCGGGGATTGATGGCCTTAATGCGTTATTCTTTAAAAAGAATTGGGCCACTGTGGGTCCGTCAGTTCGGGATTATATTCGTAAAATGTGGCTTGAGGGTAAGGTTCCCAGCGAGATTAATCAGACATTGCTTGTTCTTATCCCCAAAGTTGATAATCCTTCAACCATAAAGCAGTTCCGACCGATTAGCCTGCTGAACGTCATCTATAAGTTGTACACGAAGGTGCTAGTTAACCGAATGAAAGACTCGCTTCCCTTCCTAATTCACCCGGCTCAGGCTAGCTTTGTCCCGGGCCATCAGATCATAGAAAATGTGGTTGTGGCACACGAATTACTCCATTCCATGCGCCAGAAGCAAGGAGTGACTGGTCATATGGTCATTAAGGTCGATCTTGAGAAGGCCTATGATTTCCTTAGGTGGGAGTTTATTCAAGATACTTTGAATCTAGCCGGTTATCCCAGATCCTTCATCAAAGCTGTTATGGCCTGCGTCCGGTCGTCTTCCATGAGACTTCTTTGGAACGGTACGTTAGGTGAGGAGTTTCAGCCCCACGAGAGGAGTTCGGCAAGGTGACCCCATGTCTCCATATCTCTTTGTTCTTTGCATGGAAAGACTGGCCCAATTCATCGAACAAGAAGTTCATGCGAACGCGTGGGAACCAATCTTTGTTGGGAGAGGGAAGGTTAAGGTACCGATTCTAATGTTTGCTGATGATCTACTCTTATTTTTAAAAGCCTCGGACGAACAGGTAGTGATCCTTAAGCAAACTCTCGACCGATTCTGTGATATGTCGGGCTTAAAGATAAGCTCAGAAAAAACACAAGTATACTTTTCTCGAAATGTGAGACCAGACGAGCAGCATAAATTAGCTAATGCCCTTCGGTTTCAGTGGACGAATAACCTAGGAAAGTACCTAGGATTCCCAGCCATCCATGGTCGGGTTATAAAATCGACCTTTTCCCACATCTTGACAAAAGCCGAGGACAGACTAGCGGGCTGGCAACTTAAGACCCTATCACTGGCAGGACGAGTCACACTTACCCAGTCCGTGATTAGCTCATTGCCCTACTATTCCATGCAGGCTGCCATGCTTCCAGGGGCTATCACGGAAGGCTTGGAACGTAGAAGTCGGGCATTTGTATGGGGTGGCACTACGGAGAAGAGGAAAATTCACTTAGTTGCTTGGAATGACGTATGCCAACCCAAGAAAGAGGGTGGACTAGGGATAAAAAACCTTCGAGCCATGAATTATGCGCTCCTCATGAAGCTCGGATGGAGGCTCCTAACGAACAGCAACTCCCTATGGGCGCGCCTTATGACGGTGAAATATGGTCTCGAACCCCTCAAAGGACTAAGCAACTCCCGATGCCGGCAAGGATCACCGTTGATAAAATCACTGTGCAAGATTTGGCCTAATCTGATAAGGGAGACTCGGTGGATTGTAAGAAACGGGGAGACAGTTCGCTTTTGGCTCGACTGTTGGGTGGGTACCCTCGGCCCTCTTATCCAGCACGTATTACTTCAGCCACCTGGAGATACTGTTAGCTTGA